ATGTATAGGTGGCATGGTATCACTCTACTATGGAGGGTTAAATCGGTGCCAATTTGAAAATGCAATGTTAAATTGAAAGGCGAAAATGCATTTATATTTTAATATCATTGCGCATTTATTCCGATAAACCATGGTTTGAACTTTTGCTGGCTTTTTGACTCCCCCATAAACGATGGTGTGCAGGTATGTCTATTGCACTCCAATAAACGATGGTGTACTGCAATTGCACCACGTCAGTATACATTTATTTTCCTAGATGCTTCTCTTGTGATATTTTGTGGTTGGCCTCCCCCCCACATTGCCTTTAAATTTCAATCACGCTGTAAAACTGAATTTCCGTGATTCGGATTCAATAGAGCCCTTAATCTCAGTTTAAGGAACTGTATTGTGGTCTTCCATGGCTTCCTGTTTCACTGGGGTATAAAAATTAGGTAACACGCATGTACAATCCATTTGTCATCTTTCACCACGGGGAAAGGCAAGGATCTTACAAACGAAATGAGACAAATTGTTGTTGACCTTCATAAATCAGGCAATGGGTACAAAACAATAGCTAAAAAACAAAATACCACTTACCACTATTAGGGCAATATGATGGCGCCTCGCCTCGAGCTCCTACAAAACATTGCAGGATTCTACTTTTTCTAGTGTTTTCCCTAGTTTTCTTACTCAGTTGATTCATGCATTACTTCATACACCCAGGCAGAAATATTGGAATATGAAGCGCTGGGTACTCACCGTCCACCCGACCGTCCCAAATTCCCGTAGATGGCGGAACAATGTGCTAGCCTCTTCTGTGAGACCTCGGGCTGCCTGGAAGAGAGGAAAAAGGAGATGCCGACGGAGTAGAAGAATATTTGATTCCTGGAGCATTTAATATCCAATGCTTATTTGTATGATTTATTCAAAACTGTCCATGAATGGCTGAAATAATACATAGCCTCATATAATACATTTTTTAAGACACAAGTAGGCATATCAGATTTTAAATATGTGATTACACTGGCAAAATTGGGAAGAAGTGGAATAACAAAATAAGTGTGGGGAATAACAGTAGTGTTCTTGCTGACAAAGTACAGTAATTACCCTATTGTTGCCCATTGTTAAGAATGAGAATTGTTCCACTGATCAGACTAAATAAAGCAAATAGATAATAAAATCTCCTGAAAACGAGATTACATAAATCTTCCCCTACACCCTAACCAAATTATGTTTATATTCATTGTCCCCCCTCTAGAATAAAATGTACACTTTTGGGTTCATAATCTGTTTGACAAAATTATTTGTGAATTAAACACGCTGTCAAAAGGCTACATTCTACAATAGGGGCGGGAGTAACAGCAACCTAGTTTTGTTGGCATTGTACATTAAACAGCGCTACCGTGCTGTTTATTATTTTTTAAAATCTTTTTATTTTTTTTAACAGTTTTATAAACTCGGCGATAACGTTCTCTCTCTCCATTCATTTCCGTCCTAATCTGGAGGGGCGTTTCTTTAAAACATGCATCCAATCCCCTTGATCCCTAACATAACTAGACCAATCATATGCGTATACGCTCCGATTTCAAAACGATTTGGAGCACAGCTGAAAAGTTAATGCGCTGACTATATTGGACTATTTAGAATAAATGAAAACAGTACTTTTCAATGCGTGAGATATAAGAGGTGTGCGGTGAGAAGAGAGTCAAATGCGTGTCTCACGGCTAATGCTTGAGAGTTGGCAGCTCTGAGAAGGCTAGGCTAGAGTAAAGGAATACGGAGGCTATGATATCTCAAGTCTAGGCACTCACAAAAACAACTTTACACTGGATTCTGGTGACAGGACAACCTGAGCATAAAAGGTAGGCAAGATCTATCATTGATATCTAGCTAAGTTGTTTTTAACCGACTTACAGTAATGTCAACGCCATCACTTTTATTTTATACTCAGTGAACTGATGGAGATGAAATGGTTGAACTATGATCGTAACTCTTTTCATTGTAAGAGAGCTGGGGGGATTTGAAAGACGTGTAGCCAAGTAACGTTACTGTTGACAAGTACTGTACAGATCTCTCATTTCACTTGAATGGTTTGATTTTTAAATAGATGATTACATTTTCATATCGAGGTAAATCGCCTGCATAAGAGTTTGCTCTCGACTCAAAATGTAGAAGCCCTCGATAATTTAATAGTAAAGTCCTGATATTAGTAGCTAATCTGTTTGACATGTTTTAATATTGAGAGAACCATTGCGGTTAGTAAACCAAAAGTGAAACTGAAAACCGTTATGCCCATTGCACGCCAAATGTTAGTGGGGAAGTGGGCGGGGTTGCCAGGTCAGCTAAAATGTTTAGGCCATTGACCTCGGAAAACCATCCCACAAGGCCTGAAAAATAGGTCAACATTTTTTGGTGAAGCAAGAGAGGAGTTGTCACACCCTTTTTCCATAACGTTATCGAGCGAATTAAGATGGAATTTCGACGTCATTTTTAATGATGTAGGCTAAGAAGCAAAATTCGGTTTTCCATCAAAATAATAATAACTACGATTTTAAGAATATGTCGGAAGAGAAAATATAAATTGCCCTTATTAAACTCTCAAGATCATTTTCCATCAATGGATGTCGATTTAACTTGTTTTTACTGCTATGATTAAGCAATAAGGCCCAAGGAAGTGTGGTATATGGCTAATATACTACAGCTATGGGCTGTTCTTAGGACATAGCCCACAGCCGTGGTATATTGGCCATATACCACAAACCCCTGAGGTGCCTTATTGCTATTATAAACTGGTTACCAACATAATTAGAACCAGTAAAAATAGTGTTTTTGTCATTCCCGTGGTACACCTCTGATATACCATAGCTTTCAACCAATCAGCATTCAGGGCTCAAACCACCCAGTTTATAATTGTAAATATATCCTGTTTGCGCATGTGCATAACTATAGATAAATCCGACAAGAGGGTTTGAGTGATGAAAGTTGGACAGAGGATCTTGAAATCTCTGTGCAACAAACATTACATTTACATAATTTAGCAGACACTCTTATCCAGAGCGACTTACAGGAGCAATTAGGGTTAAGTGCCTTGCTCAAGGGCACATCGACAGATTTTTCACCTAGTTGGCTCGGGGATTAGAACCAGCCAACTAACACTTGGACGAACTTCAAAAAATTAATGTTAGGCTATTTTTTGGCAATTGTGCTGTTATTATGTGCCAGATGTTGAGACTACAAACCGTTATAAATGGCTTAATTGCGAGATTGACTTGTTATTTCAATAGGCATAGGCTACTGACTAAAATCTGGGTTTATAATTGCATTTAAACTTGCCATGGTTTGCTGAGCTAGATGCAGGTAGCCTGATAGACCAACATGCAAACATCTAATTTCAGGGAAAAGTCCACAATGAAACTGACATTAAATGTGGAGAATGATACGTTTGCGATAGAGCTGTGACCATTCTCACAATTGATAACTTCAAATTTAATTAACTAAATATGGCTATTAATAATTGCATAATAACACAAGGCTACAATAAAAAACGGAGTTATAGTTTATTTATTAAATCCGTTTGCCAGCTCCAGGTAGGCTACAAAAGTGGCACAAATTGATTTGCAATGACTCCAGTGATATCGTCATTTCAATATATTTATTGTATCAAATGGTAGGTTACAGTAGCCTGAGTGGCGCAGTGGCCTAAGGCACTGCATCGCAGTGCTAACTGTGCCACTAGAGATCCTGGTTCGAATCCAGGCTCTGTCGCAGCCGGCCGCGACCGGGAGACTCATGGGCGGCGCACAATTGGCCCAGCGTCGTCCAGGGTAGGGGAGGGAATGGCCGGCAGGGATGTAGCTCAGTTGATAGAGCATGGCATTTGCAACGCCAGGGTTGTGCGTTCGATTCCCAGGGGGGGCAGTATAAAAACAAATGATTAAAAAAAGTTTCACTAACTGTAAGTCGCTGTGGATTATGGAGGACTAAAAGTGCCACAATTAAATAAATAAATACACCATTAAATAATTACTTAAATGTGTCATTAATTAATTCAAATTAGAATTAAATACATAAATGTGTTATTAAATGTGTCATTAATTAATTCAAATACCGATTCATTTTATGTAAAATACATATATAATAATTTCACTATTTACATTTACATTTCATGGTCCTGCGTTGGAGTGCTTCCTGAATTACTTAAAACTGTCAAACTGACCCATCAAAAGTTGGTAGGCGGAACCTAACGCCTGATTGGTTACCCTCTGCATCAAGCCAAGACAAATCAATTCCGGATAATGGATTGATGCAGAGCTACTGAACACATTCCAATACACTGGGTGGCGCTATTCACCTCTACGTTGGTTTAGTTACACGGTTAAACAGAACTTTCATTGCAACGGAACCTCGACTGAGCAGGTGCTAAAAAAAGTATATGTTAGCAGGTACCAGGTACTTTTTTTCGTAATGGAAAACCAAAAAAGGCGAGGCGAGGCGAGTAGGTACCATGTAATGGAAAAGCACCATTAGATTTTGAAGAAGTGTAATATCGTTACATGGTAAGTTTAGTCTTTTCCTGGTTTCAAAGGCTGCATTACAGTAAAGTGATGTCATTTTCTGAACTTACCAGACTGTTCTAGCTGTTCTATTATTTGCCTTTTACCACTTAGTCATTATATCCACAATATGATAGTTATTTATCCGAAATCTAAATGTGGAAGATATTTTGTGAATGCACCAATTGTCAACCTTACAATATCGTTGCAATATCGACATCAAGGTGTTAGGTCAAAAATGTGATATTTGATTTTCTCCATATTGCCCAGCCCTAATGTCAATGCATACACAGTTCAGATGAATTGACACAAGTTCAGTGTCTTTGAAAACATTAACACACTGTGCAGTAGTTGACTTTTTTTTCTTCCATTTACTAAAATCAAACTGTTCTGCACCTTCAGTGCTAACAGTACAGCATTCATGTTAGTCATTCTGTGGACCATAATGAGACAGGAAGCTTCAAAGAAACAGCTTTTTTTCCTTTCTTTTAAAAGGAAAGTAAACTTTCAGTTTTTCCTTGCTTGTTCTAACACAACAAATAAAAACATGGGTTGGACATCAGTCTAAGATTCTTGATAACACTTCCACAGTCTCTACATATAGTCTAAGTGCATCAGTAACAGAAACTCCTGGAGCTGGCAAAATTGCAACCTCTTCATCTGAGAGCTCACGGGCCAGCTGAACCTCGGGGACTGACACAGTGCCTCGATGAAGGCAGTGAGGTCCGTTCCAATCGATCCCATATTCTTCAGGAACCTGAATGGATGACAAGCATAATCAGTCTTGTACTTAAAACTAGTTTGACATGTCCTTACACAAGATTGTTATTTTTGGTCACCAAGGCAGTGAGAAATGAAATGTTACTTATTCAGTTTTTTAAAATAATACAGCTTTGCATAGTATGCACTGTAGAAACTACAGCTCACAGGTTGATCTTTAAAAGCTCGGGAGATTTTAAAGAGACAATAATCTATAGTAAATGTTTCATTTAAAGTATCACATTTAGCACCATTTTTTTCTCCCATAATTCCTTTGGGGAAACAATTTTAAGAAAGTGTTTAAAGTTCATTGTTAACCTCAGTAGGATCCTCCTCAGGGCCTTGCTCTCTGTAACTTCTCCAGAGTTGCTGTGGTGACTGATTCCTTTCAGTTCTAAGACCGTGGAAGTTCCAAGCATCTCGAAAAGAGTCGAGGCTTTGCTGAACCAGTGGAAGGAAAATCCGGTGCAGAGCGAAAAGATGGACTTCATTGTCTGGATTCAGTGTCTCCTGATCTTCCAATGAAGTAAAGATCTGATAGAAGAGGTCCAGGGCATGTTCATAAACATCTCTCCACATCCTCTCTATTCTGTGTTTAGGATAAAATTGAGAAATTGTTAATTTATGACATATGCTAAAGTACATTCAACTAGTATGTTAGTTGTGTGAGCCTAGTTGCCAAACATATTTCTTTACCGCTGATTGTGGACACTTCTGCCTGTGATGTGTGAATTCCTGTCGGTACCTCTGCTTCTGATCATGAATTCTGCTACATCTGCATTCTCCCCCCCTTTGTCAGACCGTACCCTTGATGGCAGCCCATACTGCTCAACAGCGGCGATAAAGCTCTGTAAGACCGTATGAGCTCTATTATTGCCGGCCACAGTCAGGTAGACCACTAAACGACTGAATCCATCCACCCCACCGTGGACAACAAATCTCCACCTGTTGCAAACACATGAAAAAATATAACTTTATTGTATAACAATTGTAATGAAACATATAGAAAGATGCATTGTTTATCTGCTAATATCACTGACCTGATAAGCTTATGGTGGCCATCTATATGCCACAAAGAGTTTGGGCCAGGAACAAAATACTGCCGTCGCCTTAATACACGCAGCCTCAGACGTCTCATGTAGACTCCCTCTGCATTGACTCTGCGTAAAGACTCTTGCAGTCTTGAGACTGAGGGGAGGAATTTAAAATGAATAACCACACACTCACTGGCTACTTATTTTGAGGATATAGTGGTGTCATAATAAAATAAATAATGTGTGTAAAACAGTCAACTATTACAGAACCACCACAGCTTCAAAAATGTACTTTACTGTCAGATATTGTACATATACATACATACATATATATATATATATATATATATATATATATATATGTATATATATATATATGTATATATATATATATATACATACACATATATACACATATATAAAAATTATATATACATATACATATATATATATATATACACATACATACATACATATATACATACATACATATATATATTTATATATATATACATACATATACATACATATATATACATACATACATATATTTATATATTTATATATATATATATATATACATACACACATATATATACATATATATACACATATACATATATATACACATATACATATATATACACACATAGATAGATAGATAGATAGATAGATAGATAGATAGATAGATAGATACCACATGCTCGAACAGAGATGACCTGAGATTTTTTGCCTCCTATGATATTTTGCTTTTCTATGATTATATTATACCCTTTACAGCAGGGGCACATCCGGACAGCTGAGAATATTACTGTCAGATATTGTTCCACCTCTATTAAACAGGAGGCTAAAAATCACAGGACATGTCTATCCTGATGATACAAGTCAGCCGTCCTGAAATGTGTGTTTCTCTTCACATTTCTTCTACACATTCTACATCTCAGAGGCGATGTCTTTCCATAAGCGGGCTTCCTTCACCTTTCAAAGGGGCAGAGCTCCAAATTAAAAATACATTTAAATAATGCCCATATTATTATCTACTCACTTGGAACATGCACACCTCTTGCATTCAGGTGACCACGCATTAGCTTGTAGCCGGTGTTTGGATGACTTCTGTGAATTTCACTTACAATACGGTCTAACTCCTCATCATTCACAGCTGAATAGAGATCTGTCTTTCTGTACAAACAAGAAAAACACAACATCAAGTAATGTTACCTTAAACGTCATATTCTTTCCGAGTGTATGAGAGCAGCAATTCATAAACAGAAAACTCATGAATTTAGTGTAAATACCTTAAACTGTATTGTTGCATGCGCCTCCTGATGGTCCTCTTTGACACACCGAACATCGCTGCAATTTGAACTGCGGGAACTCCACAAAGAAGTTGATGCTCCAGAACTGCACTCGGTATGTCAAACGCCAAACGCCCCGGTCCCTGTGTGTGTTGGGCCTGAAGTGCCCTGGTACCAGAGAAGCGGTGGACAACTTCTTCTAGATTTGCAATCACTCTGTGGTCGATATCTTCGTCGGAAAGTGCGGAAATGACTCCAACAACTTCAATAAGTTCCTCTGCTTTACTAGCTACATGCTCTGGGTCAGCAGGTCCTGCTTCTACATCCTCTGCTAAGTTTAAAATGTCTCTAACCAACTCCCTGGAAAGTTCACGGAGATCCTCCATTGTCTCTATCCAGGTTGGCCTACTCTACTTCAGACCAAAGCAATGGATCAGACTAGATTCGCGTTAGCCCCGCCCACTGACTTTGATGGGTCAGTTTGACAGTTTTAAGTAATTCATGAATCACTGCAATGCAGGATCATGAAATGTAAATGTAAATAGTGAAATAATTATATATGTATTTTACATAAAATGAATCGGTATTTGAATTAATTAATGATACATTTAATTACACATTTATGTATTTAATTCTAATTTGAATTAATTAATGACACATTTAAGTAATTATTTAATGGTGTATTTATTTATTTAATTGTGGCACTTTTAGTCCTCCATAGTGGATAAGAGCGTCTGCTAAATGACGTAAATGTAAATGTAAATGTAAATGGCATGGAAATGAATAGCCTACTTGATGGCCAACAGATGCAAATGTAGCCTATCATTGTCCACATGTAATGTAGTTTTCATTGTGGACTTTTTCCAATAACAAAAGCACGCGAGAGAGTTCCATAACTTCCATTTCAAATTTCTACTAGCCCCTAGAACTGAGCATGAGTAAAACCCTTTGCTTGATACTGTTATCCATAAGAAAAGTCGACATTAGAATGCAGTTCACTTTAAACCACCTCTGAGCGAATTTATCTAAAGAGCTCTAGTGCGCCTAAAGTCGTTTTCCAATGCTTTGTCGCCGTTATATCAGTTCTAGCACGTTATGTTTTATGGAAAAGATTGTCTTCATAATGACCAATCTAAATATCCTACCTACAACTGGTAAAAAGTTGTCATGACGTGCGTGCGTGCTGCTCTGTCTCCATGACTCAGCTGCAGCACTCTCTCAACCAGTGCTCTCAAAGCACACACCCCTCTGGCCCTCACCTTCTTCACCATTCAATTCAAAGGGCTTTATTGGCATTGGAAACATATGTTTACATTGCTAAAGCAAGTGAAATAGATAATAAAACAAAAGTGAAATAAACAATATAAAATGAACAGTAAACATTACACTCACAAGTTTGCAAAGGAATATATACATTTCAAATGTCATATTATGGTTATCACTCACTCACTCACTCACTCACTCACTCACTCACTCAGTAACAGCCTGTTCACTGCCTGATAGTCAGCAGCAGCAGGTCACAGTGAAATATATATATATAATATTAAGAGAAATGACATGGCGGCCGCAGTACAATTTAGAAGTAGCCCAAAAACCTGCCACCCGTGACCAATACATTTCCACCCACGACCTCGTTTTCAAATTTCGGGGGAAACCGCGAACATGGCAACACTGGAAGTTGGGGGAATTACTAATATGATGAGCAACAATAGTGGAATTGGCCTTTCGCTTCAAAGTAAAAGTATTGCATTGCTGATGTAAACGGATACAAAATAAATGGGTGGAATCATCCCACAAATGTAAACACAATAATTCATTATTTAGTCAATAAACACATGGAAATATGTTGATCTCACTCTGGGTGTATTGGACTGCATCATTGCAAAGGGGCATACTTATTGCAGTGTACATGATTACCTATGGATCTCGGTTCCATGAAAAGGCTGTCGCATACTATCCAGTCAAAACGTGGTGCGCCGTTTCGCAAATATATTATGACAAAATGTTGTGACGTTATTGTTTGTTTTGATGTTTGGGGCCTATTCCCACAGACAAAAAAAATTATTGAGCCAAGCTGAAGTTTGGTAGAAAAAGTCTATGCCCCTTCGTCAGTGATTGGCCAACTGTAGGGGTGGGAACTATGGACGGGATTCTTCAATGAAGTGATTGTTTTCATTCAACCAGAGAGACTGTTCTGCAAGGATCCAAGTTTCCTCTTCTAGATTCAACCTGAATTTTGGATTAAACATGGCGAAGAACAACAACAACAACAACAACTTTGAGCTTTGCTTGCGCTAGCAAGCCAATCAACTAAACTAAAGATCTTTTTGATCAAGCAACATTTTGTCAGAAATTAAATAATACGCTTCCCATTGGTAAAACCAAAGTCAATGTTTGGTAGCAAAGTCCAGCTAGCTAGCTATTGTTAGCAAGCAGGCTACTCAACTCTGCTCAAACATTAGCTAAGGTCTTTAAGGGAGTATGCAAGCACAGTCGTGCGCTTATGCCTAGCCGAGTTCTGCCAGGAGCAAACAGAACAGTCTACATTCACCTTAAGGGGGATTAGCCTACTCTGTGACACCGACAGAATACAATTCTGAATTATTGGCGTCCCCCCCACCCCCGGAAAAAAGAATCCTGCAATTCTATATATTTTCACATGACTTAGGGCCATGACCAGGGTGGAATAAAAAATTTAATAATCACAGGTCAGGTGTATTCAGGATTCTTTTAAAGTTGAATACACACTCAACTTGATGACTTGGTTTGAAGTTACTTAGAGATTATTTGGACCATAATGGCGCCAAATGAGATGGCTGCCGTTTTACGGGCTCCTAACCAATTGTGCTATTGTGTGTGTTTTGTTTTGCGTTATTTGCAACTTATTTTGTACATAATGTTTCTGCCACCGTCTCTTATGACCGAAAAGAGCTTCTGGATATCAGGACAGTGATTACTCACCTCATACTGGACGAAGATTTTTTCTTTAACGAGTCGGACGCAAAGGATTTTCTTCAGACACCTGACAAGGCCCAAATCCCCATCATTCGCATGAGAAAGAGACAGAGATATTGGGGACGTAGGTCGGGGTGCCTTGTAAGGATCCGACGGTGAGTGCGTAATCTGCCTCTACCATCGGTCCTATTAGCAAACGTACAATCATTGGATAACAAAATAGACAAACTAAGATCACGGATATCCTACCAACGGGACATTAAAACTGTAATATCTTATGTTTCACTGAGTCGTGGCTGAACGACGACATGGATAACATACAGCTGGCGGGATATACGCTGCATCGGCAAGATAGAACAGCTGCCTCCGGTAAGACAAGGGGTGGCGGTCTGTGTATATTTGTAAACAACAGCTGGTGCACGAAATCTAATATTAAGGAAGTCTCGAGGTTTGCTCGCCTGAGGTAGAGTATCTCATGATAAGCTGTAGACCACACTATTTACCAAGAGAGTTTTCATCTATATTTTTTGTAGATATCTATTTACCACCACAAACCGATGCTGGCACTAAGGCCGCACTCAATGAGCTGTATAAGGCTATAAGCAAACAGGAACAAAACACGGCGCTCCTAGTGGCCGGGGACTTTAATGCAGGGAAACTTGAAGCCGTTTTACATAATTTCTACCAGCAGGTTAAATGTGCAAACAGAGGAAAAAAAAACTCTGGACTACCTTTACTCCACACACAGAGACGCATACAAAGTTGGCTTCATCAATAAGTGCATCGACGACGTCGTCCCCACAGTGACCGTACGTACATACCCCAACCAGAAGCCATGGATTACAGGCAACATCCGCACTGAGCTAAAGGGTAGAGCTGCTGCTTTCAAGGAGCGGGACTCGAACACGGATGCTTATAAGAAATCCCGCTATGCTCTCCAGACAAACCATCAAACAGGCCAAGAGTCAATACAGGACTAAGATTGAATCGTACTACACCGGCTCCGACGCTCGTCGGATGTGGCAGGACTTGCAAACTATTACAAACCACAAAGGGAAGCATAGCCGCGAGCTGCCCAGTGACACGAGCCTACCAGACAAGCTAAAATACTTCTATGCTCGCTTCGAGGCAAGCAACACTGAAGCATGCATGAGAGCATCAGCGGTTCCGGACGAATGTGTGATCACGCTCTCTGTAGCCGATGTGAGTAAGACCTTTAAACAGGTCAACATTCACAAGGCCGCAGGACCAGACGGATTACCAGGACGTGTACTCAGAGCATGCGCTGACCAACTGGCAAGTGTCTTCACTGACAATTTCAACCTGTCCCTGACTGAGTCTGTAATACCAACATCTTTCAAGCAGACCACCATAGTCCCTATGCCCAAGAACACTAAGGTAACCTGCTTAAATGACTACTGACCCGTAGCACTCACGTCTGTAGCCATGAAGTGCTTTGAAAGGCTGGTCATGGCTCATATCAACTCCATTATCCCAGAAACCCTAGACCCACTCCAATTTGCATACCGCCCCAACAGATCCACAGATGATGCAATCTCTATTGCACTCCACACTGCCCTTTCCCACCTGGACAAAAGGAACACCTACGTGAGAATGCTATTCATTGACTACAGCTTAGCGCTCAACACCATAGTGCCCTCAAAGCTCATCACTAAGCTAAGGACCCTGGGACTAAACACCTCCCTCTGCAACTGGATCCTGGACTTCCTGACGGGCCGCCCCCAGGTGGTAAAGGTAGGTAACAACACATCTGCCACGCTGATCTGCAACATGGGGGCCCCTCAGGGGTGTGTGCTCAGTCCCCTTCTGTACTCCCTGTTCACCCATGACTGCATGGCCAGGCACGACTCCAACACCATCATTAAGTTTGCCCACGACACAACAGTGGCAGGCCTGATCACCAACAACGATGAGACAGCCTATAGGGAGGAGGTCAGAAACCTGGCCGTGTAGTGCCAGGATAACAACCTCTCCATCAACGTGATCAAGACAAAGGAGATGATTGTGGACTACATGAAAAAGAAGAGGACCGAGCATGCCCCCATTCTCATCGACGGGGCTGTAGTGGAACAGGTTGAGAGCTTCAAGTTCCTTGGTGTCCACATCACCAACAAACTATCATGGTCCAAACACACCAAGAAAGTCGTGAAGAGGGCACGACAAAACCTATTTCCCCTAAGGAGACTGAAAAAAGATTTGCCACAGATCCTCAAAAGTTCTACAGCTGCACCCTTGATAGCATCCTGACTGGTTGCATCACTGCCTGGTATGGCAACTGCTCGGTCTCCGACCGCAAGGCACTACAGAGGGTAGTGTGTACGGCCCAGTACATTACTAGGGCCAAGCTTCCTGCCATCCAGGACCTCTACACCAGGCGGTGTCAGAGGAAGGACCTAAAATTGTCAAAGACTCCAGCCACCCTAGTCATAGACTGTTCTCTCTGCTACCGCACGGCAAGCGGTACCAGAGCGCCAAGTCCAAAAGGCTTCTTAACAGCTTCTACCTCCAAGCCATAAGACTCCTGAACAGCTAATCAAGTGGCTACCCTGACTTTTTGCCTTCTTAAAAGTTAATTTGTGGAATTTCTTTCCTTCTTAATGCGTTTCAGCCAATCAGTTGTGTTGTGACAAGGTAGGGGGGGGGGGGGGGGGTATACAGAAGATAACCCTATTTGGTAAAAGACCAAGTCCATATAATGGCAATGTGGTTGGGAGAAGTTGCTCTCGGAGGATGTGTTGGTACCATTCTTTATTTATGGCTTTACCCCAGTCCTCAGCAGTCCAATCCCTGTACCTTTTGCAGAATATCAGTCTGTCCCTGATGTTTTTCCTGGAGAGAAGTGGCTTCCTCGCTGCCCTTCTTGACACCAGGCCATCCTCCAAAAGTCTTTGCCTCACTGTGCATGCAGATGCACTCACACCTGCTTGCTGCCATTCTTGAGCAAGCTCTGAACTGGTGGTACCCCGATCCCGCAGCTGAATCAACTTTAGGAGATGGTCCTGGCGCTTGCTGGACTTTCTTGGGCGCCCTGAAGCCTTCTTCACAACAATTGAACCTCTCTCTTTGAAGTTCTTGATGATCCGATAAATGGTTGATTTAGATGCAATCTTACTAGCAGCAATATCCTTGCCTGTGAAGCCCTTTTTGTGCAAAGCAATGATGACGGCACGCGTTTCCTTGCAGGTAACCATGGTTAACAGAGGAAGAACAATGATTTCAAGCACCACCCTCCTTTTAAAGCTTCCTGTCTGTTATTCTAACTCAATCAGCATGACAGAGTGATCTCCAGCCTTGTCCTCATCAACACTCTCACCTGTGTTAACGAGGGAATCACTGACATGATGTCAGCTGGTTCTTTTTGTGGTAGGGCTGAAATGCAGTGGAAATGTTTTTTGGGGATTCAGTTCATTTTCATGGCAAAGAGGGACTTTGCAATTAATTGCAATTCATCTGATCACTCTTCATAACATTCTGGAGTATATGCAAATTGACATCATAAAAACTGAGGCAGCAGACTTTGTGAAAATTAATATTTGTGTCATTCTCAAAACTTTTGACCACAACTGTACATGTACATATTACCTCAACTAACCTGTGCCCCCTCACATTGACTCCGTACCGGTACCCCCTGTATATAGCCTCGCTACTGTTATTTTACTGCTGCTCTTTAATTATTTGTTATTTAAATATTTTACTCATCTATTTTTTTACGTAACACTTATTTTTCTTAACTGCGTTGTTGGTTAAGGGCTTGTAAGCATTTCACTCTAAGGTCTACACCTGTTGTATTCAGCGCATGTGACAAATAACGATTTGATTTGACATGAAATTCAGAGTATGCAAACTGGGGGACATCGAATTAAATTGGTTTTTGGTTAGACTCAAGTTTGCCAAAAAGCACCTGGATGATCATCAAGACTTGGAAGAATGTTCTATGGACAGATTATTCAAAAGTACAACTTTTTGGATGACATGGTTCCAGTAATGCCTGGCGAAAACCAAACTCTGCATTCCACAGTAAGAACATCATACCAAAGGTCAAGCATGGTGGTGGTGGTGTGATGGTTTGGTGATGCTTTGCTGCCTCAGGACCTGGACAACTTGCCTTAATAGAAGTAACCATGAATTCTGCTCTGTATCAGAGAATTCTACAGGAGAATGTCAGACCATCCGTCTGTGAGCTGAAGCTGAAGCGCAGCTGGGTCATGCAGCAAGACAATGATCCAAAACACACAATCAAGTATACATGAAAATTGCTAAAAAGCAACAAATTGGAAGTTTTGGAATGGCCTAGTCAAAGTCCAGACCTAATCCCAATTGAGATGTTGTGGCAGGACTTGAAACGAGCAGTTCATGCTTGAAACCCCACACGTCACTGAGTTAAAGCAGTTCTGCATGGAAGAGTGGGCCAAAATTCCTCAACAGCGACCTGAGAGACTGATCAACAACTACAGGAAGCATTTGGTTGGAGTCATTGCAGCTAAAGGTGACACAACCAGTTATTGAGTGTAAGGGGCAATTACTTTTTCACACAGGGGAATTGGGTGTTGCATAACTTTGTTTTATGAAATAAATGAAAATAAATATGTAATTGTTGTGTTATTTGTTCACTTATGTTCCCTTTATCTAATATTAGGTTTTGGTTGAAGATCTGATAACATTCAGTATCACAAATATGCAAAAGTAGAGAAAATTAGAAAGGGGGCAAATACTTTTCCATAGCACTGTGTGTGTGTGTGTGTGTGTGTGTGTGTGTGTGTGTGTGTGTGTGTATATATATATTCATTTTTTAAAATATTATATTCTGGATTAATTAGAAAACAAGGCAACAGTAGGCATGTCGTCCCCCACAGATGATGCAGCGTCCCGTCCCCCCTTGGGCCAATTGAGATATTGTGTGTGACTAACACATTTCAGTTATGGTGTTTGACCACAGATTATATATTATATTGATCAGGGCCCGGTTTCCTGATGGGGATGGAATTTAGGTTTATGAGTGTTGATATATCTTTCCTGTAATGGCCGAAGATGTAACATATGTTTCCCAAAACACCACGCAGAGAGAAGGTTCTCTTAAGTGCATCGCTGAGACGTGTCCATACTGATAGGATCGAATGAAAGGCAACGCTGCTCTCGGATCAGCTTTCTCCATTCAAATCTTACCTTAACATTAGAATTATTCCACAATACTGATGACGGATCAGCTCCTAGAAAGATGATATCACCTATGGCTGCAAATATTGAGGCGGCTTTTTATAATGCTTCCCCTATAATAATGCACTAAATCAAGATGTGGACATCATTGTACACGTTAGGCTACACATCATGAAATACACTGAGTGTACAAAACATTAGAAACACCTTCCTAATATTGAGTTGCACCCCCTTTTGCCCTCAGAACAGCCTCAATTCGTCAGGGCATGGACTCTACAAGGTGTTGAAAGCGTTCCACAGGGATGCTTCCCACAGTTGTCAAATTGGCTGGATGTCCTTTGGGTGGTGGACCATTCTTGATACACACGGGAAACTGTTGAGCGTGAAAAACCTAGAAGCGTTGCAGTTCTTGACACAAAACGGTGTGCCTGGCACATTTTACTCAGGAGCACCTCTAGTATCCAAATCCAAACAGTTTACACACCCAGGTTAGTCGCTGCTCATATTGTATTTGTAGCTTTTAATTTTCTGTAATCTCAAAATTCCATGTCAATGCATTTTTCATGTCAGCTTCACATGGACTGCAAAAACATAGACATTGTAGCCAGACAGGGAAAGGGATGTGTTGTAGACAGACAGGGAAAGGGATGTGTTGTAGACAGACAGGGAAAGGGATGTGTTGTAGACAGACAGGGAAAGGGATGTGTTGTAGACAGACAGGGAAAGGGATGTGTTGTAGACAGACAGGGAAAGGGATGTGTTGTAGACAGACAGGGAAAGGGATGTGTTGTAGACAGACAGGGAAAGGGATGTGTTGTAGACAGACAGGGAAAGGGATGTGTTGTAGCTTCATAATCTTATGTCTTCCACTGTATTTTACAGGTACAAAGGCAGACAAAGTTTATAGCTGTAAGGAGACCCACAACATGGCTGTAAGGAGACCCACAACATGGCTGTAAGGAGACCCACAACATGGCTGTAAGGAGACCCACAACATGGCTGTAAGGAGACCCACAACATGGCTGTAAGGAGACCCACAACATGGCTGTAAGGAGACCCACAACATGGCTGTAAGGAGACCCACAACATGGCTGTAAGGAGACCCACAACATGGCTGTAAGGAGACCCACAACATGGCTGTAAGGAGACCCACAACATGGCTGTAAGGAGACCCACAACATGGCTGTAAGGAGACCCACAACATGGCTGTAAGGAGACCCACAACATGGCTGTAAGGAGACCCACAACATGGCAAGCACACAGCAGTTTGCTTTTGAGTATGTCCAAAATGGCAGAGCCCCTCTTGAGGGTCACCTCCAGAAACCCTCCTTGGTCGTTGATGAGTTGCGAAAACATAACATCCTCAGCGAAAAACAAGTTAGAGAAATTAAATCCCATAAAAAGAGGTCTGTCAAAACCAGAAAGATGCTGGACATGGTCATGAAGAAAGGGGAATATGCCAGTTATGAACTGTTAAAAATATTGTACAACACAAGGAACCAAACCTTCCCAAGAACAAACCCTACCCAGAATCAACCTCGCCACCCAGATTTACATCAATGGATCAGCTGCTTTTCGTTTACGGATGACCCAGATTTACAGAATGACCTCGTCTCTGGTACGTAATGTGATCCAGCTGCTTGTGTACGTCAATAGAGTTGAGATATGACCTGCTTTTGTTAAAATAATTAAACTTTATTGAAACCCTTGATAAAGATGAGCAATAATGACTGTATAAAATAAATAATTCAAATATTGAGCTATATTGTATGCAAAAATATATATTTTATCCTAATACAATTGCTCAGAGAAAGAGATTTTGTTTAACAAGTAATCTATTTTTTTCTCAAAAAGGTAGGAGTCAAAATGATTGACACCCTTAAAGATTGTTAGAAATAAAGTAGTCAAAAGTTTCGTATTTGGTCCCATATTCCTAGCCCAATAGAAATGAATGGTAATCGTGAATAATGATGAGTGACAAAGTTAGAGGGTCAAAGATCATACCCCCAAGATATACTAACCTCTCACCATTACCAATAACAGAGTAGGTTTGCATGTCTTAGGGGTATGATCTTTGACCCTCTGTAACTTTCTCACTCATAATTATTCACAATTCATTCAGGATTATCCGTAATCATGGTAGCATTCACTTTAATGTAGAAGTGTTTAGAAACATATTATATTCTTATTTACAATGAAAGTGATTCCAAAATGGCAGAATACATAATTTACCATTCATTTCATTAAAATAATCTGAAACACAACCAAAACGAACTGCAAATGCTGCAACAAGTTTGTAGAGTCACAAGCTTGATGTAGTCGTAAAGAAAATTTAAAATGGTTTTCTCATTGTTCTTGTCTGTTTTCTCTCTAGAATTAGGACCTTGTGAGAGGTACAAAAGACAGCTGCGATCGAAAGCCGTTGAGTTTCTTCATGCAAAATGGGACCAGCACATGCATTTCCTCAAAGACAAGGCAAAATGCAAACCCTTTTCATACATTCCTGTCGTTTTGGACACAGACTCGAGTGAGCTGTCCAAAACTAAAAGCAAGTACAAAAAAGCACGCTCTAAGAAACTTAAGACTTACATTCCAAGAGACAAGGGAAAACTGTCCCCTGGTCACTTACTAGAAAGCAATGAGAAAAAGATTCTACTTGTTGGTAAACCTGGCATTGGAAAGACAACTGTTGTCCAGCAAGTTTTGAGTCTCTGGGCAGAGAATGAGAATCATCAAGAGAGCTATATGTTCTACTTTGATGAGCCTTCAATGAGATCAATGTCTCACTCTTCACAGCCCTCATCCTTGAGGTCTCTGCTGTTTGAAAGATACCTTAAGCCAGAGGAAGGCACAGAGGATGTGGTGCTGTGTGATATTCAAAATAATTCAGAAAATGTTATCTTCGTGTTTGATGGGATCATGGATGTGATTGGCAACCCAGTGCTAAATAACATTTTGGCAAAAGAACTTCTGTGTGACGCCAAGATTCTGACCACGTGCAGACCAGAGGCAGAAGACTGCGAGTTTTTATCTGACTGGCCATCTTACAGAGTGGAGGTCCAAGGATTCAACAACGAGTCCATCCATGCTTACTTAAAGTGGATGTTAGGCACTGAGGATGACTATGTTTGTAGTGTTGCGAGCAACGACGCACTATTCAGTCTATGCCATGTCCCAATGTACGCTTTCATAGTGACTGCTTGCATTTCATTTAGTCCCTCTGAGGCTAATAACCATCCATGCACCATAACAGAAATGTATGTGCGGATCTTTCGTCATTGCATGAAAAGACACGGTGACCAAAATGTTGAGTATCTGGATAAGTACATTCATGACAACATGGGGAACATCAAGTTTATTGCTACAAACTCTTTCCAAGCACTGCTTGCGAAAACTGTAAACTTGACAGGAATGGATTGCAAGGACAACAGGGTTCAACGTGCGTTCTTGACATCCAGTGCTGCAAAGGAATTGTCAACAGGCCATTCATTTGCTTTTCTCCACAACACGATGCAGGAGTTTTGGGCTGCTCTTTTCCTGTTGATGACACCAGGAAACATCACCGCCGTCCTTCAACAGTGCCAGACAGAAGAAGGAAAGTACTTGAAGTACATTGTGTCCTTCCTCTGTGGACTCTTGTCCAGTGACATTGCTGAATTGATTAACTGTGTAGTGCCAGAGGACCAGATAAGGGAAATATCTGACATATACCTTGAGAAAGTCATAGACACCTTCCTCAGCCCTGCAACACTACAGGGACATGATGAGTCCCATACCGAGTTGGATGCTGATCTCCTCTTCGTTTGCCAGTGCTTGTATGAGCGCCAGTCACCCGAAGCCTGCTCACTCCTCCTACAAAAAGTGGAGTATGAGCTTGATCTCAATGGACAATATCTTGATCCTCAACAGTGTTGTGCTGTGTCATATGTGATCAACCAGTCCAAAAACAGGAATGTCTGTCTGTACCTGAATGACTGCACTTTCTCTGATCCAGGATTGAGGTTGATTCTGGGCTCTTTGAAAAATCTTCAATGTCTCAGGTAAGTCTGCTATCAGTGATCCTTTCCACTATGTTTGTAGCTTTGGAAGTGCTCTCAGCTCTGGCTGTAAGAGTTTAGACAGTATATTCATACTAATTGGTAAGATATTGTATCAATACTTAAACTAACAGATTCTGAAAGTATCACATTGACATGGTACATAACATAGTTTGAACACTATCATCTTGCCTTTAGATAAAACAAGTTATGTCACTGTAATTAATAGATTGGATCCCACTACACAATGTCAGTTGTGGAAAGCTGCTCTTCACTCAGGGAACCCGAGTGACTCTGAAGGCTTGCTAAGACTGTGTGAATATGAAATTCACTTAAGAGTCAAGGAGCAACGGGACCAAAAGGTGTGGGAGAGAGTGGGAGAGGTCCTGAAGCGCAAGAGACCAGAGAAGGTCAAACTCTGTCTACATTTGGTGGACAACTCACTGCATGCAGCTGATTCCTTGGGAAAGAGCATATTTGACTGTTTGCCAAGCATCGAGGCTATCAGGTGGATACATTACATGTACTGTACGGTCATTATGTAGGTTGTTTATTATGTAGCTGAGCTCAAGCCTCATTATGATAACTGTATAACCATTGTATAATACCATTATTTTAGGTTTGTTGAACCTGTTGATCTGAGACAGTCATTTGTGGCATGGAAAATGGAGGTGAGTTCATTCCAGCAGGATATCTTGCTGCACGGGGCTCTGTACCAGATGGAGACAGGACTGAAATCTGTGGAGGACCTGCAAGCAGTGCTTTGTCTGGCTAGCACATATTCTTTAGAGGAACAGAGCAAATTCATTTTGAGTTTGTACCAACATATAGGGAAATATGAGAGTGACGAAGGTGTAGCAGTTCTACCAACATTGCAGCCAGTTTTCAAGTCATTTCCTGCAGTCTGGTACATACACTTTGCTGATACGAAGGCCTCTGTCCTCCTTGAGGTGATGAAACTGCAAAATGTGAAGAAACCAGTGGAGCTGTGGTGGTCAAATTATGAGTGTGACATGAACCTCATTCATTGTTTGCCTTATATTTCACAGCTAAGGCAAGTTTATCAAAGTCATGTTTTGTTATTTGTCTGATTTAAACCAATTTTTGTTTATGCGATTTACAGGCTAACACTTTTCATTGTCTACAGTTTTAGCATAAAGGTCCTAATGGAGTGTGGTCATTAAAAAAAGGTTTTCTCTATGAACAGGTTCAATGACTGCATTCTGATCCAGTATGATGACACTAAAGGAACCATTGAAGGCCTTTTGAAACTCTTCTGTTTTGCAAAGCAGCATCAGCCTGAGACAGGAGAGGAGACACTGAGGATGCTGTCGACAGTATGCAGCTACTCAAACTTCCCCTTTGCCAGTGGTAACAAAGATGAACAGAGTGATTTTCTGCTAGATTTGTACTCCTCTGCAAAGTTGTTTGAACTTGAATTGGAGGGCCAAATTCTCCCATCATTGTTGACAGTCTTTCAGTCAGCTCAGCCTGCAGCCTGGGTCCTCGACCTCAGTACAGACAAGGCCTCCATCCTACTTGAGGTGCTGAAACTCCAAACGGAGAAGAAACCAGTTCGACTGAAGGGCTGGCTTGAGACTGATAAAAGTAAAATAAGGAGTTTTCTTCTGTGTCTACCGTATATTTCACAACTGAGGTAGGTCAATGTTCAGTCCCTTTCAAACACATACAGGAGGTGAGAAGTTGTTCCAGCCTTTCATGACCTAACACATTGTTTTCTGGCAGGATTATTCCTCAAGATGAGAGTGATACAGAGGTGAAGATGCCTACACTGACTTCTGAGCAACTAAAGAGATTCTTCCTTTTGCACCTGCTTGATCATGGAGATCTGGACAACACTGAGACAGGACAGAGCTCTGTTGAGGAACTGTTGTCAGTTCTTGGGTTTGCTCATTCAGACAACTCTCCAGAAAGGTGCTTGTTTCTGTTAGATCTGTTCTCACATTGGAAAGACTACGAGACTCAAACAGGCAGAAAAGTTTGTCAAGCATTACTGCCTGTTTATCGGTCAGCTCCTGCAGTCTGGTCCATAGACCTCTCGGAGAGAAAGGGCTCTCTAAGCTGTGATGACCAGTTCCAGCTGTCTCTATGGGGTGCACTCCCTTTCGGCTCAGAATGGGATGCACAGCTAGCCTCCTCACTCCTCCAGGCCCTAGACTACACCATCACATTGTCAGGGTGGTTGCCCACTGTAACCTGCAATGCAGTAGGTGCAGTCCTAGGGCAATCTGCCCCTGGAGAAAAACTCAACGTCAGTCTCACCCCAGATAGTATCTCTTTCCAAGGAGCTGCAGTACTCTTCAAACAAGTGAAAGAGTTTCACAAACTTAAGTATGATCTTGCTAGTGGTATTTTAACAATGTAGAATGGTGGGGGTAAAAAAAATTAGTGTTTTGATCATGATTTGCAGAATAAGTCCTCTTATTTGTATTGACTTCCAGGGTTAACGAAATGTCAACAGCGAAACTGGCCAGATTGGCAAAGTCAACGTCATGCCGAAGCCCAATGGTCGTTGAGGAGCTGACTCTTGTCTTGTCTAGGCCAATTCCAAAAGAAGGGGTGCAGTGTAGAGTGCTCAGTGGTTTAGCTTCACTCCTTAGAGTTTGGACTGTAAGGATCTTAAATCTGAGAGACTGTCCAATCCATGGTTTCCTTCTCACTACCTTGTTGTGTCATCAGGGTCCACTCACTATCAGGCAAGTTTCTTTGTTTCTAGATCTTCTTCACACTTGAAAAAATATGATGGACTTTTGTTTTGTGAGGCTTGCTATTGTTTTGAAATTGCAGATGGGTGTTTATGTTTGTGTGTTTCTATGGCAGACTGAGTAAGGAGACTCTGCAGCAGCTGGCTGTTGTGGTGTATGAGGCTCAGGATGAAGAACTGACCCAATGCTTTCTGGAAAAGTTAGGTAGTGATCTGTCTAACTGTACACTGGACTGGGATGTGCTTCACTACCTGCTGAAGAGCACCACACAACCCATCACCATCAACCTCAGGAGGAGCAGAATCAGAGACCAATACATACCTCATCTTCTCCCTTTGCTGAAGAATGTTCACTTTCAAAGGACTGGGTGACACAATATATTGATTTCTAGTTTATATTAAATATGTTACATGATTCCAACAATGAAAATGTTGTTTTCCTGTTTATAGTAATTATATAACTTGGTACCGTCTTCCTTTGTGTCCGCAGGACAAGCTCCCAGTTTGAGAGGACAGCTCTGAGAGAAATACATGAGCAACGTGCTGGTCACTTGGTGAACAGTTTAGTGAGGTCATCAGATGAATGGATCAACCTGAACAACCTGGTCTTGAACCATGATGACTGTGAAGCGCTTCGTTTTGCCCTGCACTACAGTGACGGGGTCAAACTCAACCTGTTGTTGACCATCATTCCAAAGGAGGAAATGGAGAGCATTCTGACTCTTCTACACAGAGTCTCTGAGCTCAGGTCACTGTCCAATTGTCTATCAGCATCCCTTACCTTGAATGTGTCTTTTACTTGATTTAAATTTGTGTTTTTGGGTATGAGTGAACAGACAACCTGGTCGCACACCCATTTGCATGATATTATTGTGTTACAAATGGTCCTGTGGTGTTGAACTGTTGGAAAAGTGGTCATACAGTTCATACGTCTTGGCAGTCATACAGTATCATATGTCTTGTTGCATTAGCATTTGATACTAACGTTAGCTAGCAGGTTAGCTTAACATAGCTATCAGGTTAGGTTAACATAGCTTGCTGGTTAGCTTAACGTGGTTAGGGTTAGCTAACATGCTAAGTAGTTGCAAAACGCTAAAGTTGTGGTTAACTAAAGTTCCTAATTAGCTAAGATGCTAATGTTGTCCCCAACGCGATTCGAACATGCAACCTTTGTACTTTCGTTTCTGTCTTAAGTAACCAGACCATTTGTAACATATTATAGGTATTGGATGTAACCCAAAATAATCGTATTATCCTACGTCTAGTCGGAGCGACCAAGCTGTAATAGAATACTGTTCCAAAGTACATGTCCACCAATTCATGCTTACCTTGCAGGGTCGACAGGAACCTATTGCTGGAGCTCCTCCATACCTGTGCAGGATTGAGAACAAAGAGAGGGGCAGCACCTGCACTCCTGACAGTGCTGCATCACAAACTGGACCTCTCCTGCTCCTCTGCGATGGACCTGTTTGGGCAGGAGAAAGAGAATGTTTTGAGCCTCAGTTTTGGAGACTGTAGGGTCATCTCCGCAGCCATCCAGGAAGCTGATGGTGACACAGAGCTAATCCTACACGACTGCCATGTTGACGATGCAGGACTAGAGGAGCTGCTTCATGTTTTTCACAGGATTCATATGAGGTGAGATGCCTATCTTAAGAAAGCTTCCTTGTTTTAACATTTGTCTGACTACATATAATGTCCTCTCCTGAATCCAACATTTACTCCTGCAGTAAATAGCAACCGCACACAACCATTCTGTGATCTTGTGAGTGCTTTACATTTGAACGTCCATTAGCCTAATGACCTTGTTCGACTTTGTTACACATCAGCTTTGGAAAACCTCTTCTGCTGCATCTCCTGCACTTGAGATTTGTGGAAGATGGAGACAGGTCAGTGAGGCTTGCTTCATTACTCTCCAGAACCCTGGAAAAGAAGATGGACCTCAGTCAGAGCCCTTTAGACTTAAGGGCCTGTTCAACACTTGCCTTGCTTCTAGAACACTCTGAAGGGCTTTCCGAGCTGGACCTTAGTGACTGCCACCTCACTGACACACACCTGGATGTGCTACTCCCACATCTGCACAAAGTTCAAGTCCTGAAGTAAGGACAATATAATATGGAATGTCCATTGAACAGCAATAACTATTGCAGATTGCACTTTTAAGACAGTAAAACTGCACCATGTTCTCTCTTTCAGTCTTTGCAATAATGAAATCACTGACAAAGGTGCTGTGAAACTTAACCTATACATGATCGGCAATAGCTTTACAGAAACCGTATGGTGAGTAAAACGTTCTTGCTTGTTGTTCTAACATAGCAGCGTTAGCTAGATAGTTAACAACTATAAAAAAAAGTTGGATAGCTAGCCTGCTAACGTAACTGTTAGCTAGCTAGCTAACAGCATTATAGCTAGGTAGAATAGAAACCGCAACAACCAAACTCCAAATGGCTCTGGAGGTAGGCATAGTCATAGACATGCTCAAAAACACAACGGTTCAGTACCCAGGTGGATTTTTTTTTAGTTCGGCTGTTGAGGTTTCTGTCTGAACATTCCCCGAGTGGCCCGACGCTCCTCCATAGCTGATGCTAAGTGATAATTTACGCTTTCAGGTTATGCTGTTTGTTTAAGGATTGCTTTTGAAACCTCTGAAAATGTCCAGAGAAAGCAAATATGCAATTTGTTGACACTACAACATAGTAGACTTATTTATTTATTAACCTTTATTTAAATAGGGAGTCACATTGAGATATAACTATTTTACAAGAAAGCCCTGTATACGTTTACAAATAAAACTCAATACATAAATAAAATACAACAGCCCTACATATATATTACAAATAGAACACACTATAATAAAACACAATACACAAGATTAAACATACAGTGGGGAGAACAAGTATTTGATACACTGCCGATTTTGCAGGTTTTCCTACTTACAAAGCATGTAGAGGTCTGTAATTTTTATCATAGGTACACTTCAACTGTGAGAGACGGAATCTAAAACGAAAATCACATTGTATGATTTTTAAGTAATTCATTTGCATTTTATTGCATGACATAAGTATTTGATCACCTACCAACCAGTAAGAATTCCGGCTCTCACAGACCTGTTAGTTTTTCTTTTAGAAGCCCTCCTGTTCTCCACTCATTACCTGTATTAACTGCACCTGTTTGAACTCGTTACCTGTATAAAAGACACCTGTCCACACACTCAATCAAACAGACTCCAACCTCTCCACAATGGCCAAGACCAGAGAGCTGTGTAAGGACATCAGGGATAAAATTGTAGACCTGCACAAGGCTGGGATGGGCTACAGGACAATAGGCAAGCAGTTTGGTGAGAAGGCAACAACAGTTGGCGCAATTATTAGAAAATGGAAGTTCAAGTTCAAGATGACGGTCAATCACCCTCGGTCTGGGGCTCCATGCAAGATCTCACGTCGTGGGGCATCAATGATCATGAGGAAGGTGAGGGATCAGCCCAGAACTACACGGCAGGACCTGGTCAATGACCTGAAGAGAGCTGGGACCACAGTCTCAAAGAAAACCATTAGTAACACACTACGCCGTCATGGATTAAAATCCTGCAGTGCACGCAAGGTCCCCCTGCTCAAGCCAGCGCATGTCCAGGCCCGTCTGAAGTTTGCCAATGACCATCTGGATGATCCAGAGGAGGAATGGGAGAAGGTTATGTGGTCTGATGAGACAAAAATAGAGCTTTTTGGTCTAAACTCCACTCGCCGTGTTTGGAGGAAGAAGAAGGATGAGTACAACCCCAAGAACACCATCCCAACCGTGAAGCATGGAGGTGGAAACATCATTCTTTGGGGATGCTTTTCTGCAAAGGGGACAGGACGACTGCACCATATTGAGGGGAGGATGGATGGTGCCATGTATCGCGAGATCTTGGCCAACAACCTCCTTCCCTCAGTAAGAGCATTGAAGGTGGGTCGTGGCTGGGTCTTCCAGCATGACAACGACCCGAAACACACAGCCAGGGCAACTAAGGAGTGGCTCCGTAAGAAGCATCTCAAGGTCCTGGAGTGGCCTAGCCAGTCTCCAGACCTGAACCCAATAGAAAATATTTGGAGGGAGCTGAAAGTCTGTATTGCCCAGCGACAGCCCCTGAAACCTGAAGGATCTGGAGAAGGTCTGTATGGAGGAGTGGGCCAAAATCCCTGCTGCAGTGTGTGCAAACCTGGTCAAGACCTACAGGAAACGTATGATCTCTGTAATTGCAAACAAAGGTTTCTGTACCAAATATTAAGTTCTGCTTTTCTGATGTATTAAATACTTACGTCATGCAATAAAATGCAAATTAATTACTTAAAAATCATACAATGTGTTCTCCCCACTGTATTTAACAAAAGCAATCGCATTTTGTAACATAAAAGTCGCCAATCAATAATTTAAAATGCCTAAAAGGCACCAGAATATCTAATTGCAAGGAGTTCTGTGTATTGTTCCACACATAAGGGGCAGATTTTCCTAATTCTGTGGAGACCAAAGGCATCTCCAGAGTTATCCATCCCTGAGAACGGGTTTGGTTATTTGTACGTCTAAAATTAATCAGTGAAGTAATGTACAGAGGAAGTTTCTCCAAGATGGCTTTGTAAATAAATAAGAGTGCAGCTCTCTTCTTACAGACAGAGAGGTCCATCCCACATGTTTGTAGTGTTGCAGTGATAAAACGTATTGCTGAATGGAATACTGAGTCCAACGGTTTCAAAACAGAGGCTGCCGCGTGCATATAAATAATGTCACCATAGTCTATTACAGGGAGAAGCTGTTTGAACAATCTTCCTTCTATTTTCAGAACTGAGGCAGGATTTATTTCTATATAAAAAAAACTCATAGATCTCAGCTTCTTTGTCAAGTTTTCAATGTGTGTTTCAAATGACAACTTGTCATCAAGCCAGATACCCAAGTACTTATAGTGAGAAACTTGCTCAATTTGGGCTCCATTTGGAGTGCAAATATGCACATCCTTAGGGTCAACATTAGGAGACCTAGAGAACAGCATAAACTTGGTTTTATTTTCATTTAACACTAATTTAAGATCTATAAGTGTTTTTGGATTGAGTCAATCATGTTGAAGGTCACGAATGGCCTGCTGCACTGAAGAGGCACAGGAATAAATAACTGTGTCATCTGCGTAGAGATGTATTTCCAATGTCATTTATACACAACGTGAACAACAATGGCCCCAAAATCGAACCCTGGGGTACCCCTTTAAGCACTTCAAGAAATTCGGATTTAACCCTGTCTATCATAATAGCCGGGGTTCTGTCACTAAGATAATTCTGAAACCACAAACAGGCATCAGTGCCAAGGCGTAACACAGACAACTTACTCAATAAGATAGAATGATCAACTCTATCAAAAGCTTTTGACAAATCTATAAATAGGGCAGCACAATTCGTTTTAGCATCCAAAGCATTGACAATATAATTTACAACTGATGTGGTTGCAGTAATCGTACTGTGCCCAGGTCTAAACCCTGATTTGATGTACATTCAAAATACAGTTCACAGATTTAAAAAAGAACAAAGTTGCACATTCACCAAGGATTCAAGAATATTAGCTAGACAAGAAAGCCTTGATATGGGCCGATAGTTGTCAAGATCACAACAATCACCTCCCTTATGTAGTGGCAGCACATAAATTGATTTCCACACTTTAGGAATATTTCCTGATAACAATGTTAAATTAAAGATGTGGGTTATTGAGCTAACAATGAGGGACGCTGCACACTTGAGCAGACCTGGATCCAAATGGTCGGCCCCTCTAGATTTTAATGCCAACAACACATCAAGGACTTAACTGTCTGTGAATTGCTGAAAGGAAAAACCCTGACCGACATTTTCAAATGTATTCAGTAAAATTCCCCCATCAACATCCAGTACATTGTCACAGTGAGTAGGTTTTTGAATTCTGTCAATAAAATGTTGATTTAATTAATTATATCAGTAATGGGGCCAGACTACATTAATTTGTAAGAGCAGAGAAAGTACAACCCTTTAATGATTTCACAGTTTTCCAGAATTTATATGGATTTCCAGAACAGTCAGCTAGTGTTAATATAATCATCAGATTTCGCTTTTCGAACAAGTTTTACACATGGTTTTCTCAATTATCGTAAGGATTGCCAGTCCCGGCCGGAGTCAGTACTTCTAGCCATGGCCCAGGCAGCATCTCTATTGCGTATGAACTCAGATAATTCAGGTGTGAACCAAGGGTTCGATCTATTCTTAACTCTCTGTTTTTTTAAATGGGGCATGCTTATCTGCAATGTTGTTAAAAACAGTAATAAAGTGATTTAGAGCCAATTCAGAATGGATACACATTCACAAATGCAAGTGAATAAAAAATTATTTGCAGCTCTGTTTTTCTCTGTTTGCAGCGGGTCATTTCATAGGAAATGGTCAGAGGGGAATGGTCAGAGGGGAATGGTCAGAGGCAATCTCATATTGTAACATCATCAAAAGTTTGACAATAAAGGCGCTAACATTGCGTCCATTCTAAAAGTTGGTTGAATTCTGTAAATCTATGGCTCTGCCTGCCTCCAACTGTCACAATGTAGAATCATTCTTCTCCACAGGCTCTCCAACAACATGATCACTGAGTTTGACATCTTAATGGAAGACAATCGCTACAAACTGTGCCCTGCTCACATGGAGCCTGGGTGGCACGATCAGCGCATTTCTTCCCTGGGATCTACCTCTGGGACAAATGAGACCTCTAAAGTATTTGCAACAGTAGAGTTATTGATTTAAATTGAACAGCACAAACTGGGTTTTCACAAAATGATTTTGGTGTGAAATAGTCCATATGACATGTTTCTCAATTATTGCCCATGATGTGATTGCATATGGGTATATGTTGTGAAATTGTTAGATATTGCTTGTTAGATATTACTGCACTGTCGGAGCTAGAAGCACAAGCATTTCGCTACACCCGCAATAACATCTGCTAAACACGTGTATGTGACCAATAAAATCGGATTTGATATGAATAACATTTTACAATGGATTTTTCACTTAGACATGTGTTTGCGTATACTAACCTCACTGTTGTCTTCCACTTTTATAGACAAAAACCCTCATTGAAGAATTTGACCCTGACAAAACAATTACAGACAAGAAGATTACCTACAGGTACCTACTTTGGGTTTAATGATCAATTACAGTTGTGTTTTTTAGGCTGAGCGTACTCATGTTTTATTCCCAATCAGAGCCCAAACACAGCCTAAAGTTTCCTCCTTATCTCTTTCTGTGATTCTCTGTAATGCTGAAGCAAGCCTATGGTCGGGATCAAATGTATTGCAGGTTGTGGGTTTCCAGATAGTGCATTTGAAATTGTCTGTCTGTGTACTGGATAACTTCTTAGTCAGGTTTGCCGTCAGAACTGAATTAATCACGCCACGAGACTGGCAGTTTCTAAATCAAGTGTTAACTCCCATGCAAATCAAACACACCTCTGAAAGAACTATCTGGAAACCCACTCTTTGCAATTGCTTGAATACCAGCCTATGTTTCACCTGTTTACAGTCTCTTTCATGTCATAATAATCAATGGCCGGTGTCTGGGAGCTAGAATTGGATTCATGTATATTCTTCCAATGCAGATACAAAAAAATTGTAATGAGAGCAAGCTGCAATACAATAAAGAAAACTTAGCAAACGAGGCATTTGTGGCAATTAAGTGCATGGAGGCCTCCATCTTAAGGCACGTCCCTCATTGGTTACCCTTAGACTTACCCCACCTCTATTTTACACTCCCTCCATTTCATGGTGCTCCCCAGGGTCCAGTGTGGGTCTCGTGGCAGGTTCCAGTGTAGAGCTACAGGGCTGGTTTTTGGGATGAGGGGGCCAGGAATCGTGGAGTACAGTGTGGTCCACTGGGACAGGGGTATCCTTGCTAACACCAGCTATGAGCCTGCAGGCCCCTTGTTTCAACTCAGGAGTCCAGAGGGACATATGTACCAACTACATCTACCTCACTGCGAGGTTAATGGTGAGTGAATTGTTGTTGTGGCTCCACCAATCTGCATTGAAACACCACACATTACTATGAGAAATTGGTTTCATGCATTTCATCTCTCTCTCACCCCCCCCCCCCCCCCCTCACCCCTCCAAGTGTCCGCAGCTGAGAACCTTCTTGTGGCCCATATATGCAGAAATAACAGGGAGTTCTTAATACCCAAGGTGACACACTCACACGTGATTGTAAGCATTAGTGGGCTGTCACATTATGGAAAAGCCCGTAAAAAACAATCCAACAGCAACCGTATCCAAGGACAGGTGCTACTGTTCCTTGAGCCTGAAGCAACTCCAGAAGAGAAAAGGCTCTGGGTGTTCCTGCTGCCCCGAGACATGCCGCCAGACGAGGTACATCGAAGTCCCTTCAATGAACTTCTCCTTTTTAAAATATTTTGTCAACTTATGAATGACTGGTTAGTTACCTGGGCCCGGTTTCCCAAAATTATCTGAATAAAGGGAAATGTAAAAAATCTCCAGCATCAACCCCAACATCAACATATGAGGAAAATGGCACGTTTCTATGTTTTGTAGTAAAAAAGGAAGAGGAAGATAAGTGTTTCCAATGAAATCATCAATCAATTGGTAGGCAACGCCTACTCACAATTGGTCAACATCACACGATGCACACTGATGCATAAAAACTGTTTTGCAAATATATATCTTACTTAACCAACAATGCAGATGTTTTTTTTTTTTTACGGCTTGTAAGTAAGCATTTCACGGTAAGGTTGTTCACCTGTTGTATTCGGCATGTGACAAATAAAAATGTGTCATTGGAAACACTTATCTTCCTCAATCTTTTTTACTACAAAACAAAGAAACAAACATTTTTCACATATGTTGAGGTGGTGCTGGAGATGAAGTTTCCCTTTAAGGCTAAATTCATTGTAAGAACCTTCGTAGGAGCATTGTTAAATCTCTGAGCTGTTTCCCAAAATCATTGTTACTAAAGTTGCACTTGAAAACACTTGTTATTTACCGACTGCCTCAGACCACTGGTAGAACAGCTAAGTGCTAAGTGCGTCGTTAGATGCTACACTAGTCAGAAAATTCTATAGGATTCCAATCAAAATAATCATATAAGAATCCAATAGAAAATCCTATCAGATTTTGGAACCTATACTATATGATTTTATTTTCTATTGGAGTATATTGGAACCAATAGGACTGGTTCTAAAATCTGATAGGATTTTTCTATTGGATTCTTGTATTGGAATCCTATAGGATCCTAGAAGATACAATCAATCAATCAATCAATCAATCAATTTTATTTTATATAGCCCTTCGTACATCAGCTAATATCTCGAAGTGCTGTACAGAAACCCAGCCTAAAACCCCAAACAGCTAGTAATGCAGGTGTAGAAGCACGGTGGCTAGGAAAAACTCCCTAGAAAGGCCAAAACCTAGGAAGAAACCTAGAGAGGAACCAGGCTATGAGGGGTGGCCAGTCCTCTTCTGGCTGTGCCGGGTGGAGATTATAACAGAACCATGCTAAGATGTTCAAAAATGTTCATAAGTGACAAGCATGGTCAAATAATAATCAGGAATAAATCTCAGTTGGCTTTTCATAGCCGATCATTAAGAGTCCCCATAGGAGTCCAATAGGACTGGTTCCAAAATCTGATTTTTCTATTGGTCATACTGCAAATGAATGAACTTGCAGCCTTGAATCACTCCCATATTGTGGTGGTGTGTTGAAGTTGAGAACCTCAGGGAATTATTACTGGTGTGAATAGGCAAAGATATGGAGTTTGTGCTCTGGTTAAGGCCTTCCCACACTGTACGTTGGATTCAGTATTTACGATTATTACATGTCACACTGTGCTATGTGACTAGGGCTGTTACGGGTGACCGTATTACCACCACACCGGCAGTCACGAGTCATGAAGGCAGTCAACTTCCACATGACCGTTTAGTCACAGTAATTAGGCTTCTCCAAGCTCTGATGCTGCCGATGGTCATTAGTAGCCTACCAAACTTGCTAACTGCCTGGTACTCAGCACTCTCTTGTCCCTCTAATCACTCTGACATCAATGCAAATGTAATCGAAAATCTAATCAAACACTTCATGAGTGCCAATGAGCTCATGTTGCACAACATTTCTATAGGTTATGCAATTGTATGAGAGAACAGTTTTGATGGCCTCTTAAAAAGAGGGGGATCCAATCAGCTTTCTATTGGCTAGGCCTACTATATTTATTTATCAACTTTCCTAATATTAAGCACATTGCTTCACTTTACAACAGGAGTATAGCCTACCTGGCTGGCATGAAAATGAACCATGATAAAAGCATCCTCGTTATTTAAGTGCATAGTCCTCCATTCGCTATTTAAGTGCATAGATGACATGTATTTCCCCCCCCCCCCCCATGCCCCTGTTCCGAGACAGGTGCATGATAATGGTCCATTCTAAATCAAAACTAATACTATATTATTTAGTATATGTAAAGACAACATTACATTAAGAATAGTCTGATGGGTGACAATATTAGCATATCACTTGTGAATGATGTATTATCACTTGTGCATTCAGGCCAGAAACTGCGCATACCTTTTTTTGCGACTTATTCCAAATCATAGTCAAATCAAATGTTATTTGCCACATGCGCCAAATACAACAGGTGTAGACCTTACAGTGAAACGCTTACAAGCTCTTAACCAACAATGCAGTTAAGAAAAAAAGTTAAGTAAAAGTAGATAAGTAAAAATGTTGTACAAAAATTTAAGAGCAGCAGTAAAATAAAATAACAGTAGGGAGGCTATATACAGGGGGGTACCGGTGCAGAGTCGATGTGCGGGGGCACCGGTTAGTCGAGATAATATGTACATGTGGGTAGAGTTAAAGTGACTATGCATAGATAATAAACAGAGTAGCAGCAGCGTAAAAGACAATGCAAATAGTCCGGGTAGCCATGATTAGCTGTTCAGGAAACTTATGGTTTGGGGGTAGAAGCTGTTAAGAAGCCTTTTGGACCTAGACTTGGCGCTCCGGTACCGCTTGCCGTGCAGTAGCAGAGAGAACAGTCTATGACTAGGGTGGCTGGAGTCTATGACAATTTTTAGGGCCTTCCTCTGACATCGCCTGGTATAGAGGTCCTGGATGGCAGGAAGCTTGGACCCAGTGATGTACTGGGCCGTACGCACTACCCTCTGTAGTGCCTTGCTGTCGGAGGCCGAGCCTTCTGTAGTTGCCATACCAGGCGGTGATGCAACCAGTCAGGATGCTCTCGATGGTGCAGCTGTAGAACTTTTTGAGGATCTGAAGACCCATGCCAAATATTTTCAGTCTCCTGAGGGGGAATAGGCTTTGTCGTGCCCTCTTCACAACTGTCTTGGTGTGTTTGGACCATGATAGTTTGTTGATGTGGACACCAAGGAACTTGAAGCTCTCAACCTGTTCCACTACAGCCCCGTCGATGAGAATGGGGGCGTGATCAGTCCTCTTTTTTTTCTTTACTGTAGTCCACAATCATCTCCTTTGTCTTGATCACGTTGAGGGAGAGGTTGTTATCCTGGCACCACACGGCCAGGTCTCTGACCTCCTTCCTATAGGCTGTCTCATCGTTGTCGGTGATCAGGCCTACCACTGTTGTTTTGTCAGCAAACTTAATGATGGTGTTGGAGTCGTGCCTGGCCATGCAGTCATGGGTGAACAGGGAGTACAGGAGGGGATTGAGCATGCACCCCTGAGGGGCCCCCGTGTTGAGGATCAGCGTGGCAGATGTGTTGTTACCTACCCTTACCACCTGGAGGCGGCCCATCAGGAAGTCCAGGATCCAGTTGCAGAGGGAGGTGTTTAGTCCAAGGGTCCTTAGCTTAGTGATGAGCTTTGAGGGCACTATGGTGTTGAACGCTGAGCTGTAGTCAATGAATAGCATTCTCACGTAGGTGTTCCTCTTGTCCAGGTGGGAAAGGGCAGTATGGAGTGCAATAGAGATTGCATCATCTGTGGATCTGTTGGGGCGGTATGCAAATTGGAGTGGGTCTAGGGTTTCTGGGATAATGGTGTTGATGTGAGCCATGACCAGCCTTTCAAAGCACTTCATGGCTACAGACGTGAGTGCTACGGGTCGGTAGTCATTTAGGCAGGTTATCCTAGTGTTCTTGGGCACAGGGAGTATGGTGGTCTGCTTGAAACATGTTGGTATTAGTCAGGGACATGTTGAAAATGTCAGTGAAGACACTTGCCAATTGGTCAGCGCATGCTCGGAGTACGCGTCCTGGTAATCCATCTGGCCCTGCGGCCTTGTGAATGTTGACCTGCTTAAAAGTCTTACTCACATCAGTTACGGAGAGTGTGATCACATAGTCATCCGGAACAGCTGATGCTCTCATGCATGCTTCAGTGTTGCTTGCCTCGAAGTGAGCATAGAAGTGATTTAGCTCGTCTGGTAGGCTCGTGTCACTGGGCAGCTCGTGGCTATGCTTCCCTTTGTAGTCTGTAATAGTTTGCAAGCCCTGCCACATCCGACGAGCATCGGAGCCGGTGTAGTACGATTCAATCTTAGTCCTGTGTTGACTCTTTGCCTGTTTGATGGTTCGTCAGAGGGCATAGCGGGATTTCTTATAAGCATCTGGGTTAGAGTACCGCTCCTTGAAAGCAGCAGCTCTACCCTTTAGCTCAGTACGGATGTTGCCTGTAATCCATGGCTTCTGGTTGGGGTATGTACGTACGGTCACTGTGGGGACGACGTCATCGATGCACGTATTGATGAAGCCAGTGACTGATGTGGTGTACTCCTCAATGCCATCGGAAGAATCCCGGAATATATTCCAGTCTGTGCTAGCAAAACAGTCCTGTAGCTCATCTGACCACTTCCTTATTAACCGAGTCACTGGTGCTTTCTGCTTTAGTTTTTGCTTATAAGCAGGAATCAGGAGGATATAATGATGGTCAGATTTGCAAAATGGAGGGCGAGGGAGAGCTTTGTACGCGTCTCTGTGTGTGGAGTAAAAATTGTCTATTTTCCTCTGGTTGCACATTTAACATGCTGGTAGAAATTAGGGAGAACGGATTTAAGTTTCTCTGCATTAAAGTCCCCCGCAACTAGGAGCGCTGCCTCTGGATGAGCGTTGTCCTGTTTGCTTATAGCCTTATACAGCTCATTGAGTGCAGTCTTAGTGCCAGCATTGGTTTGTGGTGGTAAGTAGACAGCTACGAAAAATATAGATGAAAACTCTTGGTAAATAGTGTGGTCTACAGCTTATCATGAGATACTCTACCTCAGGTGCGCAAAACCTTGCGACTTCCTTAATATAAAATGTTGTGCACCAGCTGTTGTTTACAAATATACACAGACCGCCACCCCTTGTCTTACCGGAGTCAGCCGTTCTATCCTGCCGATGTAGCGTATATCCCGCCAGCTATATGTTATCCATGTCGTCGTTCAGCCACGACTCTGTGAAACATAAGATATTACCGTTGGTAGGATATCCGCAATCGTAGGTCATCTATTTTGTTTTCCAATGATTGTACGTTAGCTAATAGGACTGATGGTAGAGGCAGATTACTCGCTCGCCGTCGGATCCTTACAAGGCACCCCGACCTACGTCCACGATATCTCTGTCTCTTACTCATGCGAATGTAGGGGATTTGGGCCTTGTCTGCTGTCTGTAGAATATCCTTTGCGTCCGACTCGTTGAAGAAAAAATCTTCATTCAATACGAGGTGAGTAATCGCTGTCCTGATATCCAGAAGCTGATATCCAGAAGATCAAGAGGAACGATCCGTGGGTGAAGTAGGCATGCTACTTGGACACAAGTCGGGGCTTGATCAACCCGTGCTGGGTCGCCTGGGCGAGGGTGTAAGATGTTGAAACACCCGATGACCTCAGGTTACGTCACTGATGAGGTGTCCAATTGCATTGCAAGATCTATTTTTCAAATGTTATTCATTTGTAACTCCACTTAAAGTTAGCCAGCGATGCACAAAGTAAACTGCAATATCGGGCCGATTTTTCACAAAAACTAAGAATGTGAATCGCGAGGCTTCTCTGCTGTTCTGGTCCTGCAGATATTGGGTGCGTTCCTCTGCTCATGCGTTGCTGACTCATGCCAGATTTTACGCCTGGATAGGTATTTTACGTATCAACTAACCACATCATATGTTATAGCTATCTGCTGCCCAATGGCACAGTCGATGACATGAAATGCAACCATTGGTTGATGCATGCAACATCTGAGCAGGGAAACACAACCATCATGTTGCAGCAGTGGTGCACATGGGCAGATATTTTTTGCTAATTTAAAGTCTTGCATCACCCTCATCTACAGAATCTGCAGTTCATCTTTCTGCTCGTTGCAACGTCATATCGCTCAGTCTGTTTAAATTGTAACATAGGGACAACAACAAAAAAGCCTTGTGAATCCCAAACCAGCCCCTTGCCCCTACCAACTCGCTCGGAGTTCCCTTCATTGTCACGTGTTGCTGACAAAACTCAGAGGGTGACTTCCAGAGTGGAAAGGGGATCAAATAAAGAGTCTAATTAGCCCATGCCACCCTTAATAATTGTCACTCCTTCAGCATTCGGACACTTGTGCCTATGACAGAGGCGTGTGTGAACGTGCAAATGGAGGGGTGAGGGGGAAGATGAAGGGACTGTTTTGGGATTCAGCATTCCTAAACCCTCTTTCATCTGTCTGTTTGAGTCATAAAATATTTTTCTCATAGGTGGAAAATCAGCACAAAGAGTTCACATTTATTAAGACCAGCTCATCCTGTATGCTGACACTCACAGCAAAATATAGTGTGACTTCTGACCTCAAACAGGGCTTTTCTGTCCAACCCAAAGTAAGTGGAACAGCAAACCAGAGACATCTTGCTAATGTAACGTTATTCTGCCTTTCATTAGGACTAACCATACCATTCATCCATCTCTCTCTCATTTTTTTCTCTTTCACATGTTCCTTCACTTACTCTTTCAGAAATACACTTTGCACATTGCACATTGCCCATACCAACACGCCACCTTTGAGGTCTTCTTGAACTGTGGTGTCACAGAACTCAAGATGAACATTTGGGAGACAACAAAGCTAAAGACGCGGAAACGCTGGACTCGCCGAGTGATTCTCAACACACCACGGGGTAACTGTTTCCCTCTGACCAACCAGTCAGACAGGATATTTGCTTTATCATAATTTTAAACCTGTACTGCTATCCTACGTTACTTTCAATCTGATAACCATCTTCTCAGAATGTAGGCTACTGATGTTATCTCATCTGTCTGCTGCATTAAATAAATTCCTGGCCACACAGCTCTCACCATGTCTCCTCCTGTACTTTCAGCAGATAATGCTGCTCAGGTGAAAAGATTCACTGAGCAGCAGTGGATAAAGAATCTGTGTGAAATACTGGGTGATCTGTCAAAGGATGAAAGGAAGAGGCTTAAGTCAATGATGAGGAATAAGGAGCAAAAGCCAATCACCAAGAGTGCTCTGGAGGGACGAAAAAGTCCGGAGGAGCTTGCAGAGCTGATGGTGGAGACCTGGGGGATGCATGGCTCCATCAAGGCCACCCGTGAGTTCATGGAGAGACTGCCACGCAGGGACGATCGAGTGACATCCTTGCTGCAGCCATTCTTGTAGCAATTTGGTTACGGGTGGGGTGGGAGATGATGGAAGTGTGGTGGCTACCCGCAAAAAACTATGGGAGTATGCTTTTACAAGGTTAAAAAAAATTCTGGGAAAAAAAATTCCATTGAAATTGATATAATGAATAGAAAATTGAGAGAATATAACTACACTGTACTTGTCTTTAATGTTGTCTTTAATTTTTGTAAACTTGAAGAAGAAAAAAAACGTTTAGTTGAACAAAAGTTAATGATATTTTGTATATTTTATATATATTGTAACTTTTTTCAATCACTGAAATATATGTACAATATGACCAATGCCAACTTTGTAGTTCAACAATATTTTATGTATATATACGTTTAACTTTTTTTTTTTACCACTTAAATAATATGTACAGTATGACCAATGACAACGTTTTAGTTTAACAATATTTTGTAATGAGATTTTATATATATTTATAAACTTTTTTTCAACCACCAAAATAATGTAATATGACCAATTACTTGTTCTACCTGTTTGAATCGTAGCGTTGTCTCATCCGCACATTCTGATAAAACCATGTATCTAATCAGTGGCCAATCATTTCTCTACCCTTTCACTGTCATAACGGTACACATCATTGCTGCAAATCCTAATACTAGTATGCATGATTTTTGTTATCCTCATTTATTTATTTAATATGAACCAATTGCTTACTCTGCTGTGCGTGACGTTTTTTAAAATTAAATGTGATTTTTCTATGCAATAAGGATTAGGGTACACATTGAGCAATAGCCTACAATATTGGTAGGCCTAAACCTAATATTTTGTTGATTAGATACATTCTTTAGATTCTATAAATTGCATTATTGAACTCTTTCATATAGTAACCTACAGTGAACAGACTAGCAGTAACCCAACAGTTCTCGCTTTTTAACATCCGGGTCACGATTGCAGTTTGCGGAAGTGAAACGAACGCAGAAACACGTCAGAAATGGTGAAAGAAATTTGCCAGAGCTACTAGACATTTTGTGATAACCTGTATAGCGCTACTATTTATTTTATATCCACAAGCCTATTTAATTGTCCACGGACTAGCTGATAAAATGTCGTTAGGGAAGCTTCAGAGACCAAGTGAAAGCCAGAAGAGTTGCACGAACTTGTTAGCTAGATACTAACGTTAGCTTGCTATAATCGCCCAAACATGTCTGAACAGTATGGTAGTTACGGACAGCTAGCTATCACACTATCGTCTTTTTCATGTGTTGTGCATGGTTCATCTTATCACCCGGCCAGATTCTGAAAGGAAAGGTTGTAACTACCTTGCTCGACTATCCAGCCAGGCTGACCAAGAATGCTGTTCTAGTAATAGCTAGCCTAAAGAGCCCCACATTGGAAGTGTCATAATACCCATAAAACCTATCGGTCAAACTGGGAAATCGTTCAAAATGTTCCACCATACATTTTTCCATAGGGGATTTTAGAAACACTTAAGGGCTGTGTTTCATCTAGGCTTACCCCCGCGTGACGTTTTGATAACCATGTAAATCACGCTCGGAAAAGGTGACTTATCAATATATTCGGCTCTATTTACTCAGATTTGAAAATGATCATTAGCATCAAAGTAGACATCATGCAAGACTACTAATCCCTGCAAGCTCCTGCATGTCATCTCTAGCTGGCACCTTTGCTAACAGGTATATTTAAAGAAAATTCTCAAATTTATTCATTACTACATTTAGCTAACATTAGATAGTTAATCATGAGATTCTTACGTTTGCCTCAGTTCGGCAGTCTCGTCCAGATCATGGCATTTGTATTTCATTATGATATCAGCTAATTTGCGTTTCATTTGTTAGGGGTAAATACAGGCGAATATATTGAGAAAAGTCACCTTGTCTGAGAGAGATTTACCCGGTTATCAAAACGTCACGCCAGGGTAAGCCTACACGAAACACAGCCCTTATTTTAAGTGTTTCTAAAATCCCCTACAGGACAAATGAATGGCGGAAAAATGATTGGAACCATTTCCCTGTTTGACCGCTATGTTTTATGGGTATTATGACGCAAAATCTGGTACTCTATTAATATCTCAAAAATAGCTTTATAGGCTATTTTCTCTGTTTAACCTCACACTCATACATTGTCTTCATTTCTTGCAGGCAACCGGGGCGGATCGAGCAGTTGGCATGAGCCTGGTTGGCTTCAGCCTTCTATTGTTTACATACTACACAATATGGGTCATCATACTGGTAGGTCACAGGAGGTTGGTGGCACCTTAATTGGGGAGCACATGCTCGTGGTAATGGCTGGAGTGGAATGGTATTAAATACATCCAACACATTGGGGATTGATACCATGCCATTCCAGATATTATTATGAGCTGTGCTCCCCTCAGCAGTCTCCTGTGTGGTAAGTATAGCCTAGCTACAGATTGTTACACCAGATAATGTGATGTAACCAAAGATTTTGGTATCCATTACTGGGAGTTACAGGATAGGTACTATTTGGTGTAGCACAGAGAATATTCAACCAAGCTTGGCGATACTGTCTTGGTCCTCCTGTTTCTACGAATCGAGGACGAAGACAGTATCGCTAAGGTTGGTTGAAGATTCTCTGTCCTACACCAAACAGTACCTATCCTGTAACTCCCAGTAATGGATGCCAAAAATATTTGGTTAAATCGCATTATCTGGTATAACAATCTGTAGCTAGGTATAGCCTAGAACTGCTATTCTGGTCCAAAATTGGTTTGTGCTGTCTTGCCAACGGGTAAATCCATTTCAATTCAATCACATTTTGACAGCACGCCTTTTGATTCGAAAAATATTTGCCCATTGTAGAAGTTCTCAAAGTTAGTTTTCGGGCCTGAATGTCCAAAAATTCGAGAAATAAAGTAGCTCAAAGTTGACCCATTTTGCATACACCACCATACCATGAGACATACATGTCTTCCTCACTGGAAAAGATCAACAGTTGAGATTGATATAATTTAAAAGCCTACAAACAGGGTTATTAAACTATTTTATATATTTATTTTTTTAAAGTATTTTTTTATAGACATTATTATCTAAACAATTATCTAAAAATGCATAAACTCAGATTTTTTTCATGTTCACATTTGTTGTAGCTTAGAACCTATTTTACATTATCTAAGGTTTTTGTGTTGCGCCCGCCATCAATTGAGACACAAAATGCTATTGAAAACAGGATGAGTGTCATGTTTCGGCTGATAAATGTACTAAAATGTGAATACAATTGAAGTTTCAACTTTCAAATGGTACCACAAAGATGATTGGAGGTCCACACATCCGATAATGTTGACTTGAATGGGAATATCTGTTGTTCTAAATTATCCTGTCAATCCTCCATAGGAAACCTATTGAAATCATAGAATTATAGATAATAGAATAGACATGACCATTTAAAGTTGCTACACATAGGATTTTTTGTTGTTGTAATATCTGGTGCTAATAGTGGAATGATAGTGTTTCACAGTATTACTTACCCGCCAATGTTGTGACTGACTGTGATATTCGCCTATTGACTTCTCCCGCCAGACCGTCATCTGTTGTCAAACTGGGAAATCTGTTCTGATTTTGTGGCTGTGCTATATAGTGGAAAGTGCTAATTTCCTGGTTGCTAAAATTCTACACTGTTCGCTCAATTTGAGTTTTTGTGAGAAAACAAGCACTGACTAGTGTAGGGAATCATTGTACCATCTAAATCGCTGTGAAATATATTTTCAATAACAAAAAATATAGATTTTACAGCTGTGGTCTAAGGCACTGCATCGCAGTGCTAGCTGTGCCACTAGAGATCCTGGTTCGAATCCAGGCTCTGTCGTAGCCGGCCGCAACCGGGAGACCAATGGGGCGGCGCACAATTGGCCCAGCGTCGTCTAGGGTAGGGGAGGGAATGGCCGGCAGGGAGGTAGCTCAGTTGTTAGAGCATGGCGTTTGCAACGCCAGGGTTGTGGGTTCGATTCCCACGGGGGGCCAGTATAAAAAAATATATATATAATAATAATAATATATATATGCACTAACTGTAAGTCGCTCTGGATAAGAGCGTCTGCTAAATGACGTAAATGTAAATGTAAAAAAAAAAAATGTGCAACACATTTTGGTTCACATTTGATTTATTTTTTATTTTTATCACAGTAATGTACAATTGACCAAAAATAAACCAACGTTCTGAAGAGAACAATGGCACGGGAATGCCCCTGTCTGTGTGTGTGTATACGTTGTTTAGCCGTTAGTGATGCTTAACGTTCTTTTGATAGATGGAAAGGCAATTAAAAGGTAACTACAAAGTAACCTATGGCTACTATTCCTAATAATCATGATTATTTGTATCAATCCAGTGGCCATTTTGTTTTGAAAACTCCATCACAAGTGCGCTACAGACATAGGCGGCCTGTTCATAAGCTAAGCTTCCCCTAAAGTACATTTAATTCAATTGCCAAAATTATATAGCCAAATTAGCCTACAGAAATACATTAAATCATTGAAAATAAGCATGATTTGGCCACAGAGGATCATTAGCTTCTTTAAAAAAAATAAGCTGTGGATTGTTTTAAATCTCATTGCCTACAGTCGGAAGGGCCTGCAATTTGTTGAGTTGCGGCTGTCAGTGAAAAGTAGAGGCCTAGCCAGCCATATCGCAATATTTCATCAGTTTGGAAAGCAAATGGCTATTGCTGTAAACAGAATACAATGAAAATACTCTAATCTGTCTTTTATAGTTATGAAAACTCTCAACTTAATTGTTTGAACAGTATAGCCTATCTTATTAGCACCAGTGGAGAGCATCGTCCTTCTCCCCGGTGAGTGTACATATTCACTCTTTATTGTTGTTGGTTCAATGCCACTTGAAAATGTGTTGATGGACAATAATTTCCTCCTCCAGGTTAGATGGACGTCATAGTGTAGGCTGTTTGTCGCCCCTTCTCGTAGGCCTATTATATGGATCAGACAACGTCGTTTTTATTGATCTGTTTGTCAGTGTCAGCAGAGTAGGCTACCCTGTCATTTTTTTTCAGATCAAAAAAGATTCTGCTAATGTCTCCAGTCATTTAA